CTCGATTCTTGTGAAAGAATCACAGTCGACCCCCCCCCCCCTTCCCCCACCTCCTCCAAGGCTGCGTTCTGCTGTGAAAGAATCACAGTCGACACCCCCCCCAGCCCCCCCCCATCCTGTTCCGTCGTTTTCAAGACCTTGACAGCCACTACTGCTAAAGCAAGACTAAACTCAAGCCTAGCTCCGCTAGCTTTCGTGATATGGCAAAAAAGTCTCAGACATCCAGCATGAATCACTGAAATGTGCACTCCACACGTGTCCTCATAAGCTCCAAATTCTCACCTTTGGAGCCAACGGACTGGTCGGAGGCCTGCAGAGAGACAAAGGCTTCTCGGATTCTCTGGGAGAATGGGGTTCAAAAAAGGAAAGAAAAAAAAAAGAGAGCCGAGTTTTTAGGAAAGCAGTAGACCTTTCAGGTTGTTAAAGAAGACGCTCGCCCTGGGCCTTCATGGCGTCGTCAATGAGCCTGGTGTGAGACTTGGGTTACATGACTGTTACATGAGAGATCCTTGCAAGAGTTCAGTTTTGAGGGCGGTTCTCCTTTGTCAGAAAAAAGAACCAAAACCAACACTTTCCAGGCGCGGTCTGGGAGCTGACGAGCCCGCTCCACCAGATAGCTATCCAACTGCTGCGGGGAGCCTTTGATGGCCTCCGCGGCCTCGGAGTCTGGGAGTTTGGGCCTTGTAGGGCATGGACCCTGAGGCTTCTCACACATGTTGCTCCCTTTTTAAAAAAACTTTGAGGGAGATATGCAGGGCATTGTCTCGATGTTATGGGCTGGCGCTAGAGGGAGGATTCTCGAGACAGAACAGCTCAGACTTACTCTCTCTAACCTCCAAAAATGGCCCGTAAAGGCTAAGACAGTGTACCAGTAGCACTAACCTTGAAGTTGTGAAACCTCAACCCCACGTCCCAAACCCTCTGACCCAACCCGCCCCCCGCCCCCATCACACAGACACAAAAGCAACTAACCCCAAAACTCGGGTCCCGGACGGTCATGTTCAGCCTCTCGTCCTGCAGGTGGGCCGTGATGTTGGCGATGAGCATGTCAATGGCTGGGCTTCGGGGCATGGCCCGCAGTACCTGGATTCTGCAAGGAATATGCCGTAGCGGAATTTTCTCGGGAGTTTGTAGGGAGTCTGTCAAACAATGCTAGGGGTTATGTAGGTGCACGGAGAAGAGGAGAGTCTAGAGTGGCTTGAGACGGTTTAAGCACCTCCAAGATCTCAGAGAGGCTCGTCAGCTCGGGCGACAACGAGGCGTTCATCACAGCCTGGCAAAGAGAATCAGCATCTTCTCAAAGTGGAAGCTGTACTTGCAGGCTTGCGAGAACATCTCTGACTTCCAACAGTTTTCACCCGCGAGCTGAACAGCTGAACGGAATGCTTCCACAGGTTCTCAAGAACTTTCAGGTGGACCTTACCCAGGTCTGATGAAGCTTCACCTTCCCCAAGGTAAGCATGAAGTGAGCCTTAACTCTCATGGAAACTTGCTGTCGAATAAAATCCTTGACCCCGTCCTCCTCTAACGCATCCCTTTCCAGCCTCGACGGCTTTCGCCTTCTGCGGGCTGTCTGCCACGGCCTGCAAAGCCTTCTGAGTCACCTTCTGCACAGCCTCCGAGGCCTCCGAGACGTTCTGGAGCCGCTCCACTCGATCCTGGGCCTCGCACGTCCGCAGAAACTCTCTCTTCTCCTATGCCTACATCCTCCCTTCCTCCTTCCTCTCTCTCTTCACCAAGGGCTCCACTTCCTTGGCTTCGATGACCTCTGCATCCTTCTTGGGCTTGTGGCCGGTGAGGTCTTCGATCACCTGCCCGGGACGTTCATGCAGACTGCGTGCAGACTGCAATTGCAGGGTGCATGGAGGCCTCGTCAATGCTCTTTGTGGCCGATTCTGCAAAAGCAAAGGGCTTAGCTTAAAGCCACTCAAGAAAAGCGGCGTCAAATCCCCGAATGCTGAGTGCTTGGCCATCGTACTTTTTCAAGGCGGCCTTGAGCTGATCCTTCGTGCAAGGCACCGATGGCACCGGGCCTGCGAAGGTGACGTGATGTTCAGATTTACTTCACGGGAAACCTTTCCATGCAACCGGCTGGTGGTGGCCGTGGTTGTCTCAGTCGTGGTGGGAACTCCCTTCGGGTCCTGGGAACAGGACAACAAAATTCTGGAGGCGTTGCGGCCAGCAGTGGGGGGGAAATTCGGTTTCTTGTTGCAGCTGGTCCATGGTCCAGAGCCTCTGACCTCAAGACTTTCGCCAGCCTCCTGCGCTACTGGACACTTCGCCCGCACGTTATGTCCCTTCAACACTGTTCGAGGTTCTGTGAGAATGTCTGGGTTAATTACCAGACACCAAACCCCTGCAATGTTTGTAGGTCTGTGGCAGCAGTTGCAATTGTGCAGCATTTGCTGCACCCTGTCCTGTGAGGTCTTTGCCTAAACTGAGTGCGTCTCAAATTGCTTCGCATGTCCCTTGCGTGGTAACTGTTTTGGAGACTCTCGTAGTTTGCAGGTCTCCACCAACATCTGCAAACCAAACAAACAGAACTGCGCAAACAAACAAACAAACAAACAAACAAAGAAATAAAGAACTCAGGGAAGCATGGAAATACTTCATGCGCAGTTTTGCTGCAAGGGCCTGCCTTCACGACGCTGAAGTTCTTTAGCAGATCATCAGGGTGCGGGACGTCCTGTGGAGTGCTCGTCCTACATGTGACCTCTGCTAATTACATCATGCCGCTTTATAAAAACACTTGAGCCTCTACCGTAGGAGACGCTTCGCCGCTTCACTGTGCTCCCAATTCGTTGCAAGAAACATCAAGACGGAGTCTCCCCCCTCATCCCGTCAGCCCGTCATGCTGCTGCCCGTGCACGGAGGGGTTGTAGGGACCACCTGTACCACCTCAGACGCTGACTGAGATGCTGTGTTGAAAGCGTTTCAAAAGCTCATTTTAGGGCCAGGCTTGGCCCCCAGTCATCCTGCGGCTGGCAGGTTTGCTGTTTTGGGGAGGAGAGCTAGCAACATTAATAAAATTTGACATGTGATTGACGGGTTTCACGGCCTTCTTGGCTTCTACAGACGTGGTAGTGGGAGGCAGAGTGAAGAGTGGGCCTCCGACGAATTGCATGGAAAAAAACATGTGTCGAACACGCGTGCAGGGCTCCCCACAGCCAGCCGTCTCGTTGGCACTACCACATGCTCCGGTCTCGATCATGGCCTCCTCGCATGGCCTGGCAAGCAGTCAGCAAAAGGAGCAGCCCAGGCCCAACTCGCAAGCCCAAGCAGCCGCAAGCAGCTGCTTGAGCAACTAGAATTCTCCGCCTGCCACCGTAGAGCTCTGCAGACTTGACCTGCAGAATCCACTTGCTGTGCCGTGCCACTTCCTCTCACTTGCTCTCTCCATCTCCTTCCTGTCCTTGGACCCCCGGCACGAGTGCGGAACCGCTGCCCCAAGCCGCAGCTGGTGGAGCAGTCGCCCCAGTCCTCCCACCTCAGCACTGCATATACTGCATGCTGCATGCACACCGCGTCTTCGTGACATGACTCGTTGCTCCGCGTCTCCAAGCTCTCCACAGGCCAAAGCTGCAATCCACCGGGCAAGGGTCGGAGTTGCAGAACGCCCTCTCCGTGTTGTTGCCCGCCTGACGAAAGAAATGAGAGGCACCCTCGTTAAAGCTCCAAGTGTCTCAGTTTCGGGCACACGGAATGCCACCACTGTGCTCGCGCTGCCTGGCTGCCCCAAAACCAAAGCATCTGTACTCTCGGTTAGAGCAGCCCTTCCACAAAAATCAAAGATGCCTCCATCTACATTACAGGGCCCTTGTATCCCTTGCTCTGCTGTCGCGTTGGCCTCTTCTGCCGCGTCTTCACTCGAACGCCCCCATCACAGGTCACCGGGCAAGCGCTCCAGTCCTTGCAAGGGAACCCTTTTCGACACCTTTTCTTTTGAGTGTAGTTTGAAGGTAATGAGGGCCCGGACCGACCACTCCTCCCACTCGCATGCAATGGGACCTTGTGGGAAGGCTCTTTACCAAGGAACAAGCGGCCCATTGCTTAGCGGTTTTCTCCCCTCAAGAAGCTTGGCCAAAGGGCACTCGATCACATTGCAGTCTGCTTCCTGCTCTCCTTGTCCTTAGTTTTGGCTGTGTTTAACTTGCTGAAAACGAAACAAACTTCTTGGGCACTGGCCGACACAGGGCCTCGCTGCAGTTGGAAAGGCTGAAAGGCTGCAAGGACAGGATTCAATGTCAATGCGAATCCAAGGCACTCTCCGCCGTTCTTCCTGTCACATTCCACTGAACGAACAATTCGGCTCCTTGAAGCTGACGTATCTGACGTGTTTGATGCTCCTGGGGATGGCAACGTCGCGGAACCGCTTGATCTTGCCACCGCCACAGAGCTTGGAGCACTGGGTCCTACTCGGAGGCCCCCCAAATCCCAGACCCTGCTGGCACATTCCACAACAAACAACAAGGAAAGCGCAGCTGTGGCCACGGCCACTTGGTCCACTCACTCCACTGGCAGTCCCTTGGGCCTTGCAACGGGCTGCTTTCGGCAGAGAGTGAGAGTTGGAGTTCTGCTTCCGGCTGAAACGGCTCTGCTTTCGGCTTTCAGCTGGGGCTCCGAAACCATTCTGAAAGACTCCGATGAATCGCAGTGCCACGGTGCCAGGATTCAGAAGCTGAAACGGGCAAAAGCAGTGAAGCGAACAACCACACAGAAGACTCTCTTCAACGAAGACAAAACACTTTATACAACACGCTGACATACAACATCGACCAGAGTGGGACAGGAACAGAGGCACCCTCTCTTCTACAAAGAAACGCAGTGAAAGCGGCCGTTTAGGCGGAGCGCAGCTAAGCTACTGGCAACCCTGTGTGTTGCAGAAGTTGGACTCCTCCGCATCGCCGCTACAGGGCTTGCCACCATTGGCCTGCAGGCGACCAGGAAGAAGGCAGGCAGTGAAGACACGTAGCTTGGACTGCTTGGGGCTGCAGGGGGTACCTCCAAGGGTTCTTTGCTGCGTGTCCGGGACATGGTACCAGCTTCACAGGTCTTGGAGCACAGCGAGAACTTGGTCCAGCCTCGGGGAAAGCTCGTGGTGCCAGTTCGTCCTAGTAGCCTTTTACTCCTGCAACAACCGAAAACACGGTCGCCACCATCGCCATCGCCCACGCCGCCCACGCCGCCAACGCCGTCAACACCGCCGCTGCTGCCCCAACCACGCCACGCAGCAAACGCCACAACCTCCTACTAGACTGTTGAGTAAGGCTGGCGTTCATCAACCAAGATTTTGTGCGACTGCTGCAGGACTCGCCCTCCTTCTGAGGCTAGCACTGGACCACTGGCAGTCCACCGGGCAGGGCTGTTCGTTGCAGCTCTCTGTCTTTTCGGTCAGGGGGCTGCCCTCCTCGTTGGTCTCACACTCCAAACCACCTTCAGCAAGACACGGCTCTCGCGGAAGTCACCCACTCACCCGGCAGCCGCCAGCTCAGCTGGCCACCCCACTGCGGCGCGATCTCCACAACTCTTGTCTGGCTCCTGGCGAGCAGCGACATCTCAAAGGCCTCCTTAATAGGCAAATGCGCCCTCCTCTTGCCACCACCGCAAGAAGCCGAGCAGCTTCCCCTGTGAAGAAGAGCACTCTTGAGAGGAAACAGAGTCGGATCTCAGAGCCGCACCAGTCGCTCCAGGGCCTGGGCCACTGCTCAGGGAAGCAGCGAACACTTCTCCGCACCTTCGGGCTGACTTCCCCACGGCACCCGCTGAGCGCTGGGCACCCACTTGCAATCCACAGGACAGCCTGAAAGGTTGCTCAAAGGCAGTGTGCAAGAAAGAAGCTTACGCCCCGGCCTTGCACATTGCAGACACCATCTTCATCCGCAGCACCAGAACACGCCTTGCCGCCGTGCACCGCTGCCACCTCTGGAGAGCACTTTTCCAGCTCTTCAGACTTTTCCAGCTGGCTTCCTCGGAGCCCAGCCTTCTCCAGGCGCTTCCTCGTGTAGGAGCCGCCATTGCAGCTGCGGCTGCAGGCAGTCCAGGCTTCCCAATTCGACCACCTGAAAGCAAGGGCCCGGCACAGGAATCAATGACTTCACTCTTTAAGGTGAGGGCTGGCAGTCCACTGGACAAATGCCCAAGTCACAGGTCATCGTTTCGTTCAGCTTGCGGTCACACGCCTGTTCAGCAACAGCATCAACCACAGCAACTGGTGACTACTGACACCCACGCGATACCTGGCCTGCCCGCCATTGGCCGGGCCGAGCCGAATCCCACGAAGCCGTGTCTGGGAGCCTGACCACCCGCCGGATGCAAAAAAGCACTCTCAAAATGCCACCGCTAATGTGTAGGTCAATCCTCCCTTCTCGCCTTGTCCACACGTCACAGAGCATGATGACCACTGGGACCAATCCTTGGAACGCAATATTGGGAACCGTCCGGTAACGGTCCGGTGACGGTGGGGTGACGATTGTGATAATGATTGACTGCCGGTTGTGGTCATCTAGACTCTGAGATGCACACTCCCATGGTGCAATCGACAGGACAGGCGTCCAACGAACAAACCTCCATAGGCTATGAGAACTCTGCTACCACGCATGTTTTCGGGACCTTTTGAGCTGAAGGTTATGCAATTGTTGGCCACCAGTGGCGATGCGAGGTCATGTTGTGCTTTGCTCTGCGTAACTGGTTTTCGAATTCAGGGGAATCAGCGCTCACCAGAGCTTTCCCCCGTGCAACTACTGCATGGAACCTGCTCATCATCTTCTGTCCCCCAGCAGACGTGGCCCCCATCTTTCTCGTACTTCTTCCTGGCACGCGTCCTTCTGGACACCTGGGCTCCAGTTTTGACATGGCAAGAGCACTCCGGTTACGCTGAGGATGCTGAGGTCCAGGGCTCCTGTGCCGCGGGTGACGGAACAACCCTCCCAGTCGGTCCAGACCTACAGGTCACATCAACGAATTCTAGAAGTTGTGTTCTTCTCAAAGCTCGGCTTCCAGCGTCCCACTCACAGTCCGTCGGACAAACCGGTAAGCTCTCGCAAGGCCGGCTGTCGGAAGCGAAGCCCTCCAAAGCCCAGGCTTGTGCGCATGGAGAAATCACTGAGTCAAGTGGAATCTTCTGAGAAAGGCTCGCTTCGGGATTTCACTATATGGGAAGTATACATTGCAAAACAAGTTTGAAGATTGCCCAGTAGACCGAACACGTGGATCCTTCCAAGTGATTTCAACGATGGGCACACACACACCTTGATGCCTCACAAATGTCCCCTTCGTAGGCAGGCTGAACCGCTATGGCCCGAGTTCGCGTCTGCTGGCCTCAGGGCTTGGCAACGACTGCTGTGCGTCCTGACCCTAAACCCTACACCGCCTGGTGTAAAAGCATGAAAAAGGACCAAAAGTATTTCCTTGCAATCCGTACGCATGAAGCACAACAACTGATAGCACATACCAACACACCGACCACATACAACACAAAAAACAAACAGCAGGCCTTCATTGACGCCCTAAAGCCTGGTGTTTTGAGACCCGCACCGGAGCCACAGGAGCTAGTACATTCACTCCAGTCTAACCAATCCTTGGCAGTGCTCTGATAATGGCTTCCAACACCTCCGGGGTCCTTGCTTGAAGAGTACTAGTAAGAGTTGAAATTGGAACCAAAGAGAGTAGCCGTGGAACTGAATCACGTATTGTGAATCACTTGAGCTCTCCACGGTCCACTGGCAGTGCACTGGGCAGTGCTTGACGAAGCAATCTGCAGGCAAGCTCGGATATGTGCAAAGTGGGCAAGTCCGGTGCGAGAAGGTTGCTCCAAGTGCCTCTGGAAGCCTTGGAGTTCCCAATGCAAGGAATTCCCCCATAGTCAGCCTCCACCTCAGCCAGAAGACGAATGAAGCAAGCGCCTTTGCAAATACAAGATAGAGCTGGGCGCAGCCCATGGCTTGCTGCTTGCTCATGGCTTAATTACGTACTCCTCTAGCAACTCTAGACACGTTTAAAGATTGCAGCAGGGTTGTTCAAATCAAGCAGTTTACAATGGATGACAGCTGACAAAGCGGAGCACTCTAAGCAAAGCTTAGCGGACTGCACACACTGTTTTCTCAGCTATTGCAAGGATCGGTAGATCGCCCTTCTTTGGCGCACCACGCCAACGAGCCAATTGCCGCCCTGACCCTCTTGACTTCCTCCGGAAGGGCCTCTGCGTCCAAGTTGGACTTCCTGCCTCTTTCCAAGTGAACTTCAGACAGGCGCTCCTCGACGAACTTGGACATGTCGACCCTGATGTTGTACTCAGAGTCCTGTTGAATTCGCCTGCCGTTGAAGGAGGTGCCGTCCGGCAGTTCTTGGAGTTTCTTAAACTTGCCGCACTTAAACCTTTCCCGGAGCTTGTTGAGGCGCTGGTCGCGCAGCTGGTAGCCGAAGCACAGGTGGTCGTGGATCTCTATGACGATGATGCCCTCCAAGCGGGGGGTCGTCAACGTGGGGGTAGTAGATTGTAGGGTCCAGCGTGCTTAAATTTGCTTGTTGCGGAGCTCGTCGCGGATGTAGGTCGTGAGGGTCTTCCTCCAATGGAGAGGCGCGGCTATGAGGCCATAGACGCCACTCACGATCTGCACCAACTGGCCTTCCTCGAGTGTTCTCGATGAAGAGGATCCGACTGCAACGTTGCCTTGAGGTCACCGCAAGTGCCAGCCATTCGGAGCGAGGCCGCCAGCTCAAGAATGACCTGGATGTTTTGGGTGGACACTGTCGGGGAGTAGGAGTCGAGGCATAGCGTCCGGGCCAAGGTCCCCACGCACACACCAGCATAAGCGCTGGGCGCACCATGCGCTGCGCACTTGGGGCAATGATGTTCACGAGCTGCCCACCGGACCAGATGCGGCTTCGCCCTGGACAAAGCAAGTACCCTGGCTTTGCTATGGCCTCTTTGTCCCGCGAAGTAGGTTCGTGCACCTCGATCTCATCCGGCATGCGCTGGCCTTGGTCTCCTGACTGCTCTGGCGCCGCCGGGTATGCGTGCACCATGTCCTGCTCAGCATTGTCGACGCGAACCTCGCCCCTGAAAGAATCAGGCGCCTCTGACGGACTCTGGGTACCGAGGTGCTCTCGAGTGGCATGCTGCCAGGCAGGGTGGCCGTGAACGTACTCTCGCCGCTTTGGGTCCACGTATAAAGGACGTAGCTGCCTCCAGCTCGGTGTTGATGCCGCGCAAGTCAACAGACCGTGTCAAAATTCTTGCGCACGTTGCCGACCTCGATGATCAAGTGGCCCGGTCGCTTCGTCTCGATAGACTTCCAGGCTTCAAACTCTGACACCTCTCCGAGCTTCAGGCGCAACTTGGCGCAGGGAGGCGTGCTCTCGATCATGTAGTCGTTGAGGGCCAGCACCCTGGAATCGTCCTCACATATCCTCCAGGAACTCCGCGTAGACATTGTCCTGGGTCGTGAGGGCTCGTTCGCGAGGTAGGTCGTAGCGATCGCGCCGTAGAATAAGCCCATCGCGCTTCGCCACCGCAAAGTCCTCGGAGAACTTGTTCGGGAAGCTGATCCATCTCTTCAACGTTTGCGGCGAGGCCGCCTTCAACACTCGGCCCCAAGCTGCGACGATGCCATCCAAAGGGTCCATCACATCCGGTTTGCCGCCGCTGCCGCCTGGTTCCTGGACACTTGCCTGATAATTGCTCAGCTCCACTGCCGCTGCCTTTAGGTTGTTCATGCCTTCTTCCGGTCATCATGGCCGCCGTCCTCGGAGATAGATTCCAGCAACTCTTGCACATCGCACAGTGGAACCAGGAGCTGCAGCCACTGGCCCGTCACGGACTGGTAGTGCGCCCATTGAAGCACACACACCAAAGCTTGTCCAAGAGTTCGCGCCAATACGTGCGTGCGCCAGGAGGTTTAAGACCTGGAGTGATCACGACCCATGGCTGCTCTCGTTGAGCACGCAATGCCTGAGCACCTAACATCTGGACGACCGGTGAACGTGGCCAAGGTCGCTTGAGCGCTCGAGCTGCGGGCATGCTCTGGTGGTTCTGCGCTGAACTGAACTTGTCTTGGAGCAGAACGGAACGCACTCTCTGGGACATGACCTTTGCAAATTTCTGGGAGAAACCATCCGGAGCCAAAGTCAAGAACACTGACGGTAAGATGACCCACGGGAGGACATTCATGACGCCCACGGGCACCTACACGACTCTCAACATCTTCGCTACACCACCGACGCCTCTAGCTTCTGAAGCTCGCCTGTCCACCGCCCTTTCAGCCCAAATTTCCTAAGAGCCTCGAAAAGACGAAGAAGAGCAGGACGCCCAATGAGAGCCTTCTTGCGCTGCTATGTCCGATTTTGCTTCAAGGCCACTATCGGTGAACAATTCCGTCACAGGACCTGCCTTTGCAACGGCCCTATAGAAGGACGTGCCAGGCGATGACGTGGTAGAAGGAGCCGCCGACGAGCTTCCCGAAGAGCTCGGTTGGCGGGAAGCAGTGTTGGCCGGGCATTCTTTCGACCAATGTCCGATCCTGCCACAGGGCCGGCATCTTGTGTGTACGGTGATGCCCTTGTTCTTGCCCTGCTTTCCTCCTCCTTTCCCCTTTTGGTGGGGAACCGGTCCAAAAGAGCTGCCTTTGCCTTGACCCTCCTTGCCCTTTGAGCCTGGACTTGCCGGAGGATAGAATCCATGCACGGGCGTTGCGGTTTTGCCGAAGGGCGCGGCGAACATCCTGATAGCTCGCCAGGATATCGATGAGGTCGTCTTCCTCAATGACTTCGCCGTCTTCCGCCGAGGCGCCCTCAAGCTCTGGCTCGAAAGTGGGAAAGTAGTCTTCGCCCTCTTCCTCCTCCGGCCATTCGCGCTTGCTCTCCACGGCGACCCTGCCGAGCTTCCTGAGGTTCAACAGGACCGCGTCGAGGGAGAAGTCGCCTTGGAGCCATATCGTCAGCTTAGCCTCCGACTCCTTGTCAAGGTTGGCCCGCCTGTAGAGAAGGTAGCCAGACGCCTTGGTGGGAAGATCCAGTCCTTCAGCTGCTAAGCGACCGCGCCTGCTGAAACCTGACGATGTGCTCCGGGACGCTTTCCTAGCGCGAGCGAGCGGCACCAAAGAACGCAGACTCCCTCGCCCTTGGCAAAGCGGTCTCCTGGTAGGGCGCGAAGGCCTCCTTGAGCACCTTGATGACTTTCTTTAAGCCATCATCCGCCACCAGGTCGCCTACAGAAAGGCTTTGCACCGCCTCCTTGGCAGGACCACTGAGCGCCTGCACGAGCTTGATGCCCCTCTTTGAGATCTGTCACTGCCTCCGAAAGCGTATAAGGTCCCGAAGACAAGGCTCTCGAAGTGGAGGTGGTCCTTCTTCCGCCATGCCGCCCCAAGTCCACGTAGAGCAGCTTCAGTTCGAAGACGCTCCGGTGGATCGGGCAGTAGCTCCTGAAGAACTGCTTGTAGAGCTCTGGCCGCCTGACCTGGTCTCAAAGACGAAGAAGACGCACAGGTCGAAGAAGGAGCCGCTGATCGGGCAGTAGGCAAAGAACACGGCTGCCGTTTGCCAGCTCTTGGTGACCTGGATCGTGGCACGGTGTCCTCGTGGCTTCCAGCTTCGGACTGTTCTCCGCCGAAGTGTTTTCGAATGAAGTCCTCCTTGATCTTGAAGAGGTGCTCCAAGCTCCGAAGCATCGAGCCAGTGATTAGGCCACTTCTCTCAAGCGAGGCCACTACAACCTGCGTTCTCGCTCTTACTAACAGGGGATGGAACAACGCTGGGAAGGGACCTAAAACTAAACAAAATCACCCAAAAACAGAACCCTAATTAGGGACTCCTATGGGCCCAAAAGGAAGACGTGGCATCCAGGCCCCATGTCTCCCTGGTTTGCTCTGCAGGGTCCCAAACCTATACAAGCGCAAGGGTGGGAAAACCTGTGGCCAGGGACTGCCCTGCCTGAAGAACACAGCTCGCACACCCCGCAGGATTTAAACCCCAACCCCTAAAAGTGCAGGTGAGGAATAAGCAAACCGCCGTGGTTACTGCCCCTATACCGGCTCCAGTCCGGTCACGCGGGGAGGCAAAGGTCACCACTCCCGTGACTTGGCAACTCGCCGGCTGAGCGCAGGCACGACGCCCCGAATCATTGCAGTCACTCCCATCCTGCACTATAGGAAACTGAGGCCTAAACCCTACTCCAATGCCCTGAACCTCTAATACCAAGGCATAAGGGGAAACCAAAAGCTCAAGGGACCTACCTTCAAATCAGCAGACAATGAAGATCATTGCTGCCTACTGAATGTAGCGGCTACGGGAAAGGAGTGGGGCACCACTTCCTGACTCTTGAAGGCACACCTCTCCCTAGCACGCAAAACACACCAGATGGGAGGCCACAAGGTACTCCAACACAGAGGAAACACGGACCTGCCCAACTGCAACCACAAAACCCTTGAGCACCAAGAAGGGCGAACCCACCTGAAGGGCGCCCACGGCCTAACGCAGGAACGCTGCCAGATTCCTCTTTTGATCTTTCTGCAGCGCCGGCACTCTGAGTTTAGGCGAATGGAAAAACTGCCAAACAAATACTACTTCGTTTCTACTCACACCTAAGCAGCTGGGAGCCACTGCAGGCGAACTGGCACCTTAATCCTCTAAGCCCAGAAATGAGGAAAGGAAACACAGACTTGGTGAAGGCAAAGCTACTAAGCTATCTTGTCCCAAAAGAGCACCACTGAGAGGCCTCCTCTCCGTGCCTACCTTCACCCCAAGCTCTTGGACAAGAGCGGTCTGAACGCGTGAACTGGAGAACTTGCAGTGCACCCTAAACCTGTGCTTGTTTAGGTCACGCACAAACAGAGACTCACAGTTCCATGGCCCTACTCAATTGCCTAACGTTCAGCCGTGGGAAAGAAGACGGGAGCTACCTACTCTAGGCAGCCACGGTCGCTGTACCCCTCTTCAGACTCCCAAACACGTTTGGCCGCGCGAACTCGCCGTGTCACAGAGGCCTGTGAGCGGCGGTCTTCCGGGTCTGACTGACCCTCCTTGAGCTGCCTGCGCAGCGCCTGCTCACCAGCCGACACAGCGCCCAAGCGAAGCAACATGGCGGCCCAATCGGAAAGCCAAGTGTTGACAGCACGGCGATCTTACGCAGTACCAAGACTACGTGAATGCAAGGTAGGTGCATCAACCTCAAGATGTGATGGAACGCCAACTGCATAGAAGATAAGTACATGAAAAGCATGTCTGCAATGAAGAAGCTCGTGGCTTGTTTTCCGTCCACCGTTCCTTGGACTCCTGTGCACTTGAGCCACGCACAAGGCATGACAGTCTTCAGCTTCCTGCGCCAGCTGAATGAGTGAACTCATTAACACCCCCGCGACTGTCAAGCCGCGGTGCGAAAGGCGCACTACTCGGGATCATACTCCTTCATAACATATCCCTCGCCACAACTGTTAAACAGTTCGAGGCCACTGAGCAATGCTTCGAGCTACAACAGCAAAAGAAAGACTATACAACTGGGGACCCTTCAAACATCTATTGATGACTCTAGATCCCTTGACAAAGGCTTCCTTGGCTCCAGCACTTGAAGTTGCTTTTCTCTTCTACCGGAGGTTTCACAGTAAGTGATCCTGATCATAGACGTGTCCATAAGATCTCGAATGAGGTCAGTCTTCCCTCCGGAACTACTCAACTTCGTGAGTCCATCAGCGAACATATGCTCTCCATTGACCCAAAACGTCTTGAAACCGTAATCAACAACAAAGCCATACAAGATCTGACACACTAAGGACTGCATTTTCACACCCTGTCTTGTTGAAGGTTTCTCTACCTGTATGGCGTCAAAAAGACCCTTGTTGTCAGTTACCAGTACCCTAGTCGTAAGACCACTAGTTAGCTTTGACTTCACTTCTTTGGCCTTCACACCCCAGAGGATTTGCTCATAGAGTAGGAGGACACTAACTGCACAGTCCAAAGCCAATGTTGCTGGCTGAAGTTCACTAGCATACGACGACCAAACTGCTCGGTCGATTTTCGTACTAGAATACTCAGCTATATTGGCCCTAACCTCCTTCCCATCAAGAACCTCCTTGGGGGCCCAAAAGACTATGGTACCAGCTTGTGAGTGGCTAGAAGGTCTAGACGTATGCCCTGCATCTGCAAACACAACCATGGTCATATCATCCCATGTTTTCGCTACACGAGAAAACGTGATAGGTTGCTCACGACTCTGTAGTGTACGAACCAACTTGTTAAGTGCTGCAAGATGTTGCTTCTCAGGCTTTGTCCCGTACGAAGCGTAATGAGAAACGTCAAAGGCTTGCTTGTCTAACAGGCCTTCAGGAATCTTACGAAGAGGGACTTCCTTGAGCTTCTGGATGTATTGTGTCTGGTCGATAACGATCTCTCGTGTTTGGGGGTGCTGCCTCATGGTTATTCCAGTATAGATGACAGGCATAGCATCTGCATACTTACGAGCACCGAAAGGCAAGTTACTAGTCAACCGTCCAAGGGCTTCCTCAAACTCCGGATTCTCGCCAGCAGAACACCCAGCTATAATAAGATCGTCAACGTGAGCCCCGACTAGACCCAACACCTTCCCATGCTGCTTACTCCTAAGCACGTACACACAGCGGTCTGCAGGAACTTGCTGGAACCCGACTTTCTCTAATTCAGAGGTAAGACGCCGATACCACGCTAAGGGGGCTTCGCTCAAACCATACGGTACTTTCTTGATCCTTGCTATAGTATCGTCGTCGTACCCCTGATCCTTAACCAAGTCCCTAGGAAGTTCTGCGTAGATAGGCTTCACCCTTGCACTCTTATCTCCAGCCAAAAAGGCTGTTTTCGCATCTAGTGTGAAAACCCTCCACATGTTCTGCGCTGCAACTGTGAGTACTGCATGCCTACCTTGCCGGGAAAGGGTTGGCGACGCGGTCGAGAATTGACCCAAATCGGGATCACGAAAACCCCGAATCACCAATCTAGCCTTAGGTTTCTTTGGGGAATTGGGGGTATCCTCTACTCTTTTCCAGGTAAGCACCCACCTACAACTAATCACCCGCTTTGGATCAATTCCTTTCCGGCTAATAAGCTCAACGACTTCGTTTCCTATCCATTGGCTCCACTCTGCTCGTTTTGCTGTTCGGAACATTTCCTTCTCTTCAGGATTGAGATATCTTTCCACTACTTCCGCGCCTCGTTTCTTCATAGCTGTAGCGTTTAAACACATCTCCTGAAGAATGTACCTGATAGAGTTCTCATCTTGGATCTCCTCAATGTCAACATCAAACTCCAAACCCAGAGAAAGCCCTGAATACTCATGATCTCTGGACTCTGTGGTCGAGTGCTCGTCAAGGGCAGGAGGAGCTGACACCAGTTCCGGACGCACTGGCCGAGGAGTACCCGGTGTTGGAGCGCCAGGGACCGGCGTACCAGGTGCTGGGGTTGCTGGTCCAGGAGTACCGGGAGCAGGTGTGAAAGGAGCTTGTGGTAAAGGTTCATAGTCTGTTTGCGGCTCCAACACCAGTTGATCCTCAAATTTATCGTGTTCAGACTCCAGCTCTGCCGAGCTGGGTCGCCCATTACGGACGTCAATCCCTCGAGCGTGTTTCATTTCTTGGAAGGTCTGCTGGCCGGCCACGCCTGACTCCTGCAGTTTCTGACGAACCCAAGTAGCTTTAAGGCTTACGGGGCGTAACTGTTGGGGACTACACAGGAACAGGCGGCCATGCACAGTCACGTACACAACTCGAGGTATCAAACGATCCGAAGTGGTTTCCACAGCCACTACCTCACCAGGGCCCAGCCAAACTCCACGTCTTCCAGGATTACTAGCATCACCCCGTTTTCGGCGGTATACTAAGACTGCTTGACCCTTATAGTATGGCCCTTGGTAAGGTCGTGACCGTGTGGCTTGCGTCCGAGCTGTGCGATCTCTGACTTCAGACTGAACCCAGGCTGTCCTGGCAGCCATACGTCTTTGCATGGTAACCTCATACAAAGGATCTTCATTATGTAGCCTTTCAGCCAGACACCGGAAGTCTTCATCGGACTCAGCCATATTAGGTGCAGCACGTGGCAACTTACCGAACACAAGGACTGAAGGGGACACTCCCTCTACTCTCATGAGCTCATTACGGGCTTGTGTGACATGAGTTACTGCTTGATAAGGGGTACAAGTACGCTCCGATTCAAACACCCTCTGAGTTTGCTGTCTGATTGTCCTACGCAAGCGTTCTACCTGTCCGTGTTGCCAGGGACTCTGGGCCGCTGTCAGCCGCTCTAGAATAGCGTTCCTAGTCAAGAATCGAGCGAAATGCTCACTTCTAAGAATTGTATCAGGGTCCGTATAAATTACTTCGGGAGTCCCGTACGCCTGAAACCAACCCTGTTCCAAAGCAGCTGTGGCTGCGTCAGCGTCCCCGGCCTCAAGGTAGAATGCCCTCGCAAAGGAAGTTGCCGTGTCCACTGCAGTGAGCAAGAACACTCTATGCAGTACATCATCGCGCTGAAGCGTGAGATCTAGCGTATCCGTGGCCAAAATACTATTAAAGGACCTTGGCTTAGCTGACCCAACTACGTTATGGGCAGGTGGAGGTTTCTGGGAATCACAAACAGCGCACCTGAACTGCATGGCTTGTTGAATAAGCCATGACGCGGCCCCCGCGTCCCGGAGGTGTTGCAGGAATTCAGCCGTGCCGCAGTGCCCCAATCCCACATGTAAACGTTGCAGGTATGAATGGACTTCGGCCTGATTGGCCACGGGATTTAAACCTGGGGCAGGCTGTGGACGTGGCTGAACCTCTGCAGGTAGCTGGGCTGCTGTTTCCTTATCCCCAAACATGGTAACCACTAAGCTGGCATTCAACGGCAACCTTAAACGCTTTGCGCCAGACAACTCCTTACACCAATCAACATAGCACCATTCCCCCGCTACCCTGACCAACGTAGTTCTTCTTGTGGCAACAACTCCTACAGGCAAGTTTGCAAAGCACTTCAGTTGTCGAGCACACACGATGGTCTCAACTTCCAAACCACTCCATGTATGCAACTGAGTTTGAACTGGGATAGGCAAATCGGATTTCTTATACCTTCCAGGGAATTGGAATCTATTCAACTGCTGCGCGAGGTCGTTATCAGTCACCTTGAAGACAGCTTGTGAACTGCTGGATTCGGCTGCATACGTGTTCTCAACTACATTACCTTGCAGCGCGCAACACTTCTTAACGGCACTAGAACGATTCAACCACTGCTCGCATTGCTCATCAAAATGTGGCTCATCAGAACTGCTGTCCACACCTGTGTCAACATCGCCCGCAAGTAATGAAACGTTCCTAGGCTCAATACCTTGCAGCAGGGCATAACACAGGAGTGGCTCATAGGCTCATAGTCCTCAGCCCATGATGAAACAGATCGTCCCTGAAATGTACCTTCGATCCTACCATATGTTCACAACTCCGATGATTGCACTGGTAACAACACATCTGCTCTGCGACACTCTTGCGAGTCGTGAAGATTGTTGTGGGCTTCTTCAGGGGTTTCCCATTGGCTGGATGTACAAGACCAAGGACGCACTGATGGAAGTGAACAAAGCCACATGACATGGGAAGCTTGTCAAACCTGGGATCATTCCACGCATAACTGCCTTGGGGGTTCTCAGCGTGTGTATGTCGTCCTCCCATGTCCTGGCAATGTATCACCTCAAACAGCAAGTCCAAATCTTCGCGACTACGGGCATTCAACCTACTCCATGCACAATGGGCCTTACATGGGAACGCTACAAAGACATCCCTAGGCTTACAGAGTTCAAGGAGGGACCTCAGACACCATCTCGCCTCCGGGCCACGCAATTCTTGGCCCCACACATGTCCAAGCCTGATGGCCTCTCCGAGCCCAGACTCTTCATAACAATGGCTGAGGTTAGCCTTACCAGCGTAAACCTCAACCAAACCAACCTCTATACCCCTATCAACCTTATAACCCTGTGGGCCCAGCCAACGCCTCAGCTCAGACCTGGTGGCCCGCCGGGAGAAATCGACTTTCACTGCCTTCCAACACTCCGGCAAATCCAAACTTCCGTCATGCCTTGGGGCTACATCCACTTCCGGCGATACCCTAGGCCAACTAGACGCAGCACCAAACGCAACATCAGGATCTCTAGACTCTACCGGAACTGGGGAAGGCAGCAAGTCTCCTGAGCAACGTGCGCAGTCATCACAGCAAGGCCGAAAGCTCCCATCCATCGGAGCCATCGGGATCGTATGTTGGGCCGCGGGATGCGGTCACTGGCCTCCATCTCCAATCGAGCAATCTCTGCCTGCAATTCTCGGGAGATCATTGCCGAGTCGGACTCCTTCTCCAGCGGGGCCATCCGCTCCGTGATAGGAGGAACCATGTTCGAAGGCTGATGGTTCATGGTTGTAGTCATCTGCAATGGTCCCAGGGTCACTGGCGCCCTGGTGCTCGGAGGTGTCGGTGAGATGCTGGTAGCAGCCGCACTGGGATGATGCAAAGGTCCCACATAAGCTGGCGCCACAGCAGCGGTTGCCCTGGCACCATAGCCGCCGCGCTCATTGGTCCATGCGATGCTGTAGCCGTCGGAGGGCTCGCTGCACTGCTGTTGATCACACCCTTGACGACCGTCTTCGCTATCCCCAACGGGGGTGTCGATCCAGCACCACTCAGTGCCCCCGCTTGCTGGGACTTCTCCATCATCACTTCACCGACCTGCACCTTGCGGATGTTCAATGGGTACTTGATCGTGCCCACCTTGTCGATGATGTGGTCTGGAGCGCCAGCGTCCTGAACCAAGTCGCCGTCCTTGAAGCCGGGCGGTGCAGGAAGAAAGGTTCTCTGGCAATCCTTCAGCGGGAAGTACGTCACCTGCTGGCTCTGGGTGTTGATCTGAAGGACCTTTCCTTTGCATTGGCAGAAACTACAATGATAGGTGATGAAATGTTTGTTTGCGTAGCGTTTCAAGTGATGACCACAGCAATGAGCATGTTCTGGCGGCACCGAACTCTCTGGGGCCAGTTGGTGGTCGCATTTGCCGCGGAAGAACCCAGTCGTCATCTTCACCCTCAGTGCAGCTTTCGTAGGCGTCACTGTCGTCAAAGGCACACTGCTCAGTATCTGAAATCGCTTGATCAAGTGTGCAACGCACAACATGTGTCTCTGCAACCAGGGCTTGCTGCTTAAAACCCACTGCACTTCTGGAAGGGACAGTGCAATCACCCTGACCATCACGTACACACGCCGCACGTGCACTGAAATCATATTCTTCAAGCAGTGTCTTCAACTCCGAGGGGGCTATGCCACTATCCCTTGGGGGCAATTGGAAATTACGTGCCCGAAGACCGTTAAACTCATGCTTCCTATCGTCCATCAGCAGGAAAACTGTCTTTACGTCTCGGGGACCCTCAGGCACCTTGGCAGTCATGTTCATGTCTGGGAATGATGGTAACATGCTGGCATCCACATTCGGCCTAGATGCAAACACGAACAGGAACATGTGAGCTTCGCTGTCATGGTTTTCCAGGACCTTTCCGCTGCAAGCGTGACATGGTGCCCAATCCATAACGGTGCCCAAAACTCTATCCTTGCTATTAAAGGACAGCGCAAAAGTCCAGACATCATGCCCGCTCAGCGCCGGCGGTGGTCGCCTGACCACTCTGGCCTTGTATCCAATCTGCGCAGCTCTTACCTGCCAAGGACGCTTTTGATCATCAAAGGCATCTCGCCCCAGGATTGAGTAAATAGTGTCAAGCTCTTGGGGAAGCAGAACCCATGGACCACGAGTTTCCCTAGCAAGTCTAAGGAGTGAAATTCTTGCATGGTTCCCGCTCCGCCCTGACACGGATTCAAAAGTTGGTGCTACAACTACCGAGGCACTACCAGTCTTGCTTGGAAGAGGGTTCTCCATTGATGGTTCCAGTGGGACCCCAGACCCCTGATCTTGAACCCCACTAGGACCCTCCAAGCCAGGCGGCCTGGTCAGATTCTCGTACTCCCCTTCCGTTGCAAAACTGGGGTCCTCGGCAGTATGGTAGCCGAATTGGAAAAGTGGCAGAAGGTAATGGCCAACTTGATTTGTTGTCAACTTCACTGCGCCAATCCCTGGGACCTCCAAAACATCACGCTCACAATCTAGCTTAGCTTTCATCTGACGGAGGGCCTGGGTTGACAACAGGAAAGGGGCCTTCCCAGGGATAACCGATGCCTGAACATATCCATCCTGAGATCCGACGCGAACAGGGTACTTGACAGTATAGCTAGCCTTAGATTCCCCATTTATACCTTCGAATCGGGTCTCAGAATGGCCACACTCAGGCACAAGACTGCCACCTGAAACGCCGCGCAACTCCTCATTCCAACGCCTTTCATTGTCAGAACCTACAAGTGTGGACGTGCAGCCGGTATCTAAAATGGCATGCCCTGGTGGAGTGACTAGACAGCATGCTTCAGCTCGGGAGCTTGCAACAGAACTCAGCCCTAACAACTCATCCCGTTCAAGGCATCTCCTAACAACACTCTCGACTGAGGGCTCTGCTTGGCAAGTTCCGAATCTGAACTCGCGATCTGGATAGTCACCCACGTGGTACGCCATGAAGTCAAACTGCGGATTAAAGCTTGGGGGCATAGGTGGCCCAGCGCCAGTCGAACCCAACATTGCCGATGAGCTCGCCGTCGCTATGCCAAGGCTGCCAAGTTATTGAGCGCCGGTCGGCTCTCGTCGAGCGCCCTTGCGCTTACCCTGACTCTTGGACTTGCCCTTTCCTTTTGGTCGTCGATCTCGCCCTGGAGGAGGAGGAGTCTTTTGCCGAGGACGTCCCTGAGTGGAGGTTGCACGTCTCTCCCTCCACTGGAAATCCCGAGGCCTCGTAGAAGAAGATGAGGATGGCTTTCCACGCCCTTCACGAGACTGTTCACGGTGTCCTGGTCGAGACTTCCCGGATCCTGAGTTCTTGTGGCTCGTGGCCTGGTCGCCAGGCTCCTTGAAACCTCTCGCCTTGCGTAGCGCTAGAAGCTTCTGTCTGGCTTCCAGGTACCCCAACATGGCGGTGTCATAGTCTTCATCGCCTTCTTCAAGATCATTCTCGTCGTCATCGTCCTCTGTCTCACCGCCCTCGGCGAAGCCACCGAAGTCCTCGTCGTCGTAGCCGTCGTCTTCGGACCACTTGTCATCGACATCGTTGGGGTCGTCATAGCCATCTTCCTGGAGGTCTGCCAAGAAGCTGCTCTCATTGACTGCTGCGAACCTTGACGCAACCATGGCATCCAACTCAGTCTTCCGAAGCAGCTCTGCCACACGATCGTATCTCAAAGACCCCCCTGAAGAACGCAGAAGGCTTGCTCTTGTTTGCAAAGATATTCCAACGCGCCGAAGATAAAGGAAACCCTTCACAACTTCTGGGAATGAAAAAGGCTCTACTGCTGGTGGCTCTGAAGGAGGGATCGGTGCTATGGGCGCTGCTGGTGCCTCGGCACCTTCTTCCAAGGCAGCCACCGATGCCTCATGCGCTTGCTTTGCCACCGTCCAATGACTGGCGTCTGAACTCAGCACGTTGCTGGTCCTGCCTTCTTCTTTCCAATCGCTGCTCTGAAGAGATAAGATCCTCGACCTTGGCAACAGTTGTTTCGAAACGTGTGGTAAAGGCTGTCGTCTCCTCACCACGTCTTCTCCTCATCCTGTAAAGCAAGTTCTCTAACCAATCAGAAAGCTCCTGTTCTGGCGTGAACTGGAACCGCGAATCGAGGACAGCAAGCACGCTACTCACACCCGAGTCATTTCGGTAAGTCCCGGGATCCTTTTCCCGGAAGCACTCGAAAGCAGACCCTGACAGATTTGCTATCAAACGGGGAGCTGCCAAGGATTGCTTGCTGTCTTCCAGGCCATGGTAGTACAACAAAGCTCGCTTCCTATAATCGCGATACTGGTCCAGACGCCCATCAAAGCATGGAACACGTTTATCTTCGTTGTCCTTCTCGGCCATGTCGTAGTCGTGGTAGTTCCACTGCCGTCGCCGGTTGCCCTGGATCGAAGAAAGCTCACGGGGAGCAAACCGGCTCCGCTGCAATGTTGACAGCACGGCGATCTTACGCAGTACCAAGACTACGTGAATGCAAGGTAGGTGCATCAACCTCAAGATGTGATGGAATGCCAACTGCATAGAAGATAAGTACATGAAAAGCATGTCTGCAATGAAGAAGCTCGTGGCTTGTTTTCCGTCCACCGTTCCTTTGGACTCCTGTGCACTTGAGCCACGCACAAGGCATGACAGTCTTCAGCTTCCTGTGCCAGCTGAATGAGTGAACTCATTAACACCAAGGCTCCGGTGCCAACTGACAAAGCGGAGCACTCTAAGGAAAGCGTAGCGGACTGCACAGACTGTTTTCTCAGCTATTGCAAGGATCGGTAGATCAAGGCTACAAGGGGCCCCTGAACCATATGGCCACTGTGATCGAAGAGCACTGCTGAGGTCAAGCTGCGCAAGGTGCATGCCAATTTACACAGCGGTATGGGTGCCCAGACTGCCATGTGCCGCTCGCGAGCTTCCTGGCCATCACCGCAGCTGGTGCTGCAGCTGCCCCAGTCACTCCAGTCCTTGGAAGATCTTTCTGCGACATGAAAAAATCTTGACAGTCTTTACCTGTAACTTGTGCACTGGGTGCTGCGCCGCCCACCTGCCATGTTGGGTGCATGCCCACCGCCATGTTGCAGCAACGTGTCCGGGCTCCCCGGCGAGCAGTGAAGCGGGCAGAAACGCAGGTTACAGTCCCGCTCTTGCGAATATCCGCCTTCACAATCCTGAGCCAGATTTACCTCAATGAAAGTATACCCTGTACAAGGCCCATACCTTTCCGCCGTGCAGCATGGGCGTCTGCACCTCGGAAAGCAGAAGAACCACGTGGAGACGTGGAGTGGCATACGGTTGCCGACGTTGCCGAAGCAACTTGGCCAACCTGGCCAAACTCAGCCGCATGCAACTCGCATCCGCAGCCCACGACCTCGCCCGGGTCGAAAAAGGTCACTTCCCATGTAGCCATCGGGTGACATGGCCTGGACCGCAGGATGTCGAACAGCCTCGCCAGTCCTGCCAGTCCTGAAGGTTCTGTGCATTGTGGGCTGCTGGGCTCGTTGTGCTCTGCGGCCCAGGCATTCCACTGGCAGTCTACGGGGCAGGTGTCTACGCTACAGTACTTGGTCTCGTAGGTCCTTAGACAGATTTCTCCACTCTTAATCTCAAGAAAGAAAAACAAAAGGCTCCGCGCCGATCCACGCCGGCACACTCCCGGCCGCCGAAGCTGGCCGCCACCTCACGGGGCCACGCAAAGAAGAGGATTTTCTCGAAAAAATTGTCTTCCTCCGGGTCCCTGAAGCTTCTGCCTGCACCCCGCGAGACCGCTCTGCAATGCCCGGCCCGCAGGAGACGCCTCGCACCAGGCAAGTACTCAGCTCAACCACCCGAGATTCTGATGCAATTGTCTGATTCCCTTTTCAACAGTAGCCCCTTGCAAAAAGAACTCATCGGGGGCCCGGCTGCATTCTGACCATGGCGTCCAATCAGAGAGCTTGCAGTCTGTCGGGCACTGGTGGAGGCTGCAGATGCCCGTTTGCATGCGGGACCTGAGCATCTGCAGAACAAGTGAAGTAAGGAGAAGCACTCCAAAAGTCTATGAAACAACTCTCTCTGTGATCTGATCCGTAGTCTCTGAGAGGACTTGCGGAAGAACCAAGGCTCCAGCGTCTGGTTTGCGGGGCAGGGCTTCCCAAGCTCGTTGCCCTGCTCCTTATGGATCGTCTTGAATGGTTCACAGCCAAAGTCTGTTACTTCCCACAGTTGTCGCGCAAGGCGATCAGATCAGTCCGATGCCACTACGGTTCTGAAACGCTTTCCTGGCCAAACGTGTGAGAGGTTTGTCCAACATAATTTGTCCTACGCGGGGAGAGCGTATAAGAATCCCTATTGCAGGAACCTGTCACGGCATGCCGATGTCCGGACACCACCCACGTCATGGAGCCATCGCTGAAAGCATGAACAATGGAAAACCTGCCAGCAAGACGGCTACCAGGCTCTGCGTCCGTCTTGCAGGAGCGGTCGCAGGGACTCCACTCGCCTGAACAACCGGAAATGCTCGCTTTGAGCACTCGAGCCCCAAAAGAAACCCTTGAGGTTCCGGCTCCAGTCGCTGAGCTGGCAATCGACCGGGCACACGCCGGTGTCACAGCTCTTGTTTTCTGACAGACTATCGCACGCAAGGCCTCAGAGCAGCAGGAGACTTTCCAGCTTTCGGCTCAAAGCACAAGCAGGTTTGGGCGAGAGGCCGCCGTAGCTCGCATAGACCTCCCAGAACATAGCTGCAGCTAAGCCCAATGCATTTCCCTTACGAATAATACAGGAACTGTGAAGGCTTATGAGGGATACATCCTAGTCCTGGTCCCTGAATTCGTTAGACCTGGCACTTTAGACTCTCCTGCAGCAAGAATCCATTGTCGAAATCCATGAAGAACTTTCCTTTGCCACACCCCCCTGGTTCCTTTGCAGGCCCCTCTGCCAAGCAAACTCTCATAAGTCCTTCGACTTTCATGGATGGATGGGCTCCTTCTGGCTTCTGCACTCGCATGGCCAGAGCCCAAAACCCTGCTAAATGCAAGAAAAGGAACCTCAAAGCCATGTCATGCTGGCCCTGCATTCCACGCAAGTTCACGCTGCATTGCACTTGCCTGGACCGACCGGGCTCGTCTCGTGGTGCCCGTGCCGCAGCTGACGTCGCAGAGCTCCCACAAGCCCCAGTCCTGTAAAGCTCGCGAAATCTTGGAAGCGCCTCCACATACAAACGAGCCAGAACGAGCTAGCGGCAGCTAGCGGCAGTCCGTCAGCACGCAATCCACTGGGCAGGTGTTCTGCCCGCAGACAGTCTCCTCCATATCGGACCTATCACAATGTCACAATGCAAGCACTCCATTGCCTGCGTGACACCCACATGTGAGCATACGATGAGGGCCATGGCCCCATCTCTTCGCAGGGCTTGCCGTCTGCGCTTGGCTGAACCTCTTCGGTCACATTGTCATTTCACGTAACATCGCATATCAAATCCCACTGTAGGCCACTGCGACGTATCTCAGGCAAGGAGCTGCCACGCTTCGGAAGCGTTTACCTGGCGCTTCCAGCGTGATTGTGCGGCAGGACTTGCTAAGTGACAAGAACGTCAGCGGCGCGGGTCCCGCCACCACAGGACTTCGAGCATCCGCCCCACGGGTCTCAGTCAGATGTCAGGGGAGCATCACATTTGCACCATCCTCCACTGGGCTGCGGTACCCCAATCAGCGTAGTCACAATCGATGGGGCAGTCGCCCAGATTACATTCTGATATCCTGGCCAGGGGCCAGGACTTGCTCTGCAACGCACGGGCACACAGTATTGTGTCAGGGCCCAGCTGGGTAGTGTTTCCCACACACTGGGCACCGCCGAACTCGGCCACCTGCAATCTTCAGATGAGCTCGGCTCAAGTGTTTCTGAAACTCGCAGAAATGGTATCACAAAGATTCAGGAAGCATTTTACTTTTTCAAAAGACATTCGTGAAATGGAACAGATCCAGCTCTGAGCTCTGGAAGGCCTGTCGAAATCCGCGGGTCCTGGTCTTTGCGCCTGGACCACAGGTTGAGCTGCATGCCGAGTTTTTCCTGTCGGGCATGGATTCTGGTAACATGGGACCTCCACAAAAGACGTGATTGGATTACGAGCTGCAACCAGGGCGCGACCAGTCAGCCCACAAGCAGTCAACCGGGCAATCGTTCTTCATACATTCCTTGTATGCCCGTTCATGTAGACCTTTTTCCCAATAACCAAACAGTTCAGGCGGTCTGAGACGCTGTGCCCGGTTCTCTTTGGCGTTGCCGTCGCATGACTTGCCATCCCCTTGCGCCATGACTTTCACCTTCCGCGTCCTTGGAGCATGTGGATGAAAGCTCGGGCGCTCAACAAGGCTCACCCTGCCTGATGGATTCTCCCCCTCCACACGTGAACTGACAGACGCTCCAGTCCACCCAGTCGCTCCAGACCTCAAGAGAGCTCAACTGTTCTTGCTGCAGATGCTGTGGTCGAGCCACCAAATTCTTGCGATCCCAAGCGGGCCACGCAGTCCACGTCCTCTGCCTGCAGTCTTTCCAGTATTCAAGTCACAGGTGCCCAAGAAAAGAGATAAGTCCATGGCAGACAGCTCGAGCGACTCGACCTGTCCTGTAAGACACGCCAACAAGCACGTGGATGAATGCGCGCGAAGCAAGCTACACGGGCGGCCTGACATGTCGATGGCTGCCCCAAGATGGCGGCTTGCCTGCAGGTGGAACATGGGCGGAGTCTGTTTTGTGCTGAGCCGCAAAGCTCTGGGCTTGTGGGCCAGCCTCGCGCTGGGCACGCATCAGCCGGGGTGGATCCAGCTCCAGCTCCTGGCTTACTTCTTTTTGCGATTTCTTTCGGGAAAACACAGCCGTCTTGCGAGGTCGCCTCTGGCTGTGCAGGCTGTGCCGGCTGCAGAAAGGCGAACAGCCACAGCAGCCGGCCGAGACCTGCAGGTCTGGTCAGGCACTACTCAAGGCGAAGACGTGAAGGTAGTCATTATCTCTTCCTGCTTCCTCTCGTTGCTGCTTCCCGCCTGGAAGAAACATCTTCGGTATGCCTGGGGCAGCCGTCTCTCATAGGGCTGGACCAAGAATCTCCCGGGGCTGCAGCAGTACTCACATCCAGCGCAGGCGCCTCAGCTCAGCTTTCGCAACTAAGCATGTCCCTGAAACCTCTTGCAACATTTGTGGCTCCGAGGGGCCGAAATGCTTGAATGTGTAGCTCGAGGTCTCTTGTGCACTTGGGAAGCCAAGAACCCCTTTGCCCAGGCCTTTAGGCTACAGAAAGCGGACTTCCCAGGGTCTGAAGCTCCAGCGATTACAAACTGTTGCAGATGCCGCCCTCAGGATGCTGTGAATCCGGTACCTTCGCTACGTCAGGAAGTAATGCCGGCAGGGCCTTACTTGAAAAATGTGGTGCGGGTTAACCCATCATCGCATGCAATCAGAACCCGGAAAAGCCCACATTACCAGTTCTGCGTGCGCTTCCAAACAGTCCCAGAAGCGTTACCCATGCTTCGTGCTCTGCATTGCAGACAAGCTGCTGGAAAATTGAGGAATGGATGTGTTGCAAAAGACGGTCAAAGACTGGGGATGCGCAACCGCGCTTCCGCTTGATCCGAAACGGGCATCATCGGGCCAGAATGCAGGAATGGTTGGGAAACTTGAAGCAAATCAAGGGATCGCGGTGCTTGATGTTGGCATTGTTCACATGTTTCCGCTGGCGGGCATCTCCACCGGGCGGTCCTAATGCTGCTAATTGTCCTAAGGCCTACAGGTCCTAATCTACGTGTCACCACAGTATTGGGGCAGGATGGAGCAGGCCAGACTCAGGTCGACAACTTCGTGGCCTTCGAGGCTTTCGCCTTCGGAGCTTTCGGAGCCTTCGGAGCCTTGGCCTGAGGAGGAGGTGGGGTCGGGGTCGGGGGACTTTTCTTTGGTGGGGGTGCAGGCGGTGCTGGCGACGCGGGTGCCGCACGGCCTTTGGCTGCAGGCGCAGGTGGCCGCTTGGGTGGCGCTGGGGGTGGCGCCGGGGGTGGCGCAGGGGGTGCCGAGCCGAGGGGCGGAGCAGAGGCAGACTTTGCTACAGGAGGCGGGGGAGGGGCTTTGGGAGGGGAGGCTCCACTTTTCGGCGGCGGTGGTGGCGGAAGCGCTGAAGACGATGCACCTTGCAACGAAGCTGCGCTGGAGCTGCAGACTGCAGTGCCGAGCATTCTGTGACTTTCTCCCGGCTCCAGGCCTGATGGCGACAGTGCCTTCACAGCACAGAGAAGGAAACTTAGACAACGCAAAGCTACCCACAGCTACGCCCAGCTGCCATGCGATCACATGAGACATCATGAGCCACAAGCATGTAGGCATAGGCCTCAAGGTCGATGTCAGCCAGGATCTCACCAGCCTCATCCTGGGAACTCAAGTTGTCAAAGCTCCGAGAAGCCGGGATAGCTCAGCTGAGGACGCTAGTCAGCTCCAGGATGTGCTCCTGCGCTTGCTCCAGGAGCCTGAAGCGAGAATCTGACCCAGGCGGCGCTTGGTAATCTCGCAGGAAGCTAGACAAGGCGTGAAAAAGTCGAGCTCCTCGCAGGGTGAGCTCTTTCTCCCGCTTCTTCGCGTCTGCCAGCTCTTTGGTGAGCACCACCTGGCTCAGGAGCAAAGATGCAAAAGACGAGGAGGATAGTCAACAAGTCGGAAAGCTTCAGTCTTTCTGGGAAGAGCAGAGGCCCAGAAGCCCACGCCTTCTCGCGGCGGACGGTAATGAGCTCAGCCTCCTTCTCCTTGAGTTCTCCTGCTCGCTCGGCCTGCACAAGCAAATGCACCAAGAGGCTGAGCAGACTGTGCAAAAACTATACATCATATGCTACTACTATAGTTATGTATCATATATAGAATACATTGGATAATATACTATAACGTACAATATATTCATATATATATACACATATATATATATATACACGTATATCTATATTCATATTTATCTTATCTCATATACTATTTTGTATATATATATATACATATCGTTGTAATCCGTTTTAGAGCCCTGCGTGGGCTCTTGCACAAGCAGCTGTTTCCATCATCAGCTGTCGTAACACGGACGTTATCATGGTTCGGCAATGGATGCACTCGAAATCGTATGCACTCGTACCATTGACGTTACCATGGTTCGTCCATGTATGCTTTGGAAATCGTACGCACGTGTAACATTGACGTTATCATGGTTCGGCCATGGATGCTTTGGAAATCGTATGCACTCGTACCACGGCATTTATCATGGCTCGGCCATGGATGCTTTGGTCTGAAAAAGCCAGGACTCTTAAATGGACTGTACCCATATAGCATCTATATATATATATGAGAGAGATACCTTTAGGGTCTATTTGCCGCTTTGGTTTCCTATATACATATATAAATATATAATTTAGATAACTTAAACAATGTAAATAATTGAATTCACAGCTTTAAATTAATTAAAAAAATTTACATAATTTAAATAAAGTAAATAATGTAAATAACTTAATTCTAGGGCTACGAATTTAATTATCTAAATTTTTTAAAGTATTTACAGTATTTAAAATCCTAAAGTTGTGAATTTATTCATTTACATCATTTACATCATTTAAACTATGTAAATATTTTAAATAATTTAAATAGTTAATTTCGTGGCCCTAGAATATAATTTTTAAATTATGAAAATATGTAAATACATAAATTCGTAGCCTTATAATTCAATTATTTAAATAAAAACAACAAATAATTTGAATAATTCAGTTCTAGGGCTACGGTTTTAATTATTTAAATTATCAGTTAAACAATGTAAATAATTCAATTCGTAGCCCTAGAATTGAATTATGTAATTTTTTTGAATTATTTAAAATATCTAAACTATTTACATACTTAAATTCGTAGCCCTATAATTAATGTATTTACATTCGTTAAATACTTTAAATAATTTGAATAATGTAAAAATTTAACCGACTCAAATAAGTTAATTCTATGGCTACGAATTTAAACTATTTACAGTATTGAAATTATATGAACTATTTACATTATGTAAATTATTTACATAATTTAGATTATTTAAGTACTTTAATTCTAAAGCTTTGAATTTAACCATTTTCAATATGTAAATAATTTAGAGGGCTACGAATTTGGAATTGTAAATTATTTGAATTATGCAAAATTATGAAGAGTATGTAAATTAGTTGAACTATTTCAATTATTTAACTTATATAAATTATTCAGATTATTTAACTTATCTAAATTATTCAGATTATTTAACTTATCTAAATTATTTTACGAATTCAATTCTAAAGCTGTGAACCTAATGTTTAAGTTATTTGAATACTCTAAACAATTTACATAGTTTTAATTGGCCACCAATTGAATTATTGAGATAATTTAAATAATCTGCATAATTAAATTCGTAGCCCTAGAATTAAGTTATGTAAAGAATTTCAATTATATAAATTATTTGAGTTATTTAAATAATTGAATTCGTAGCCCTAGAATTAAATAATTTACATAGTTTAAGTAGTGTAAATATTTGGCCACCAATTTTATTATTTAACTAATTTGAATAATTTACATAAATTAATTCTAGGGCTACGAATTTAAGTATCTAAATTCTTTAAATTGTTTAAACTATTTCAATTATTTACATTATTTAAATAACGTAAATCCGCCCAAATAACTTATGTATTTAGATAATGTAAATCTAGGGCTGGATTTAGATTATCTAGATTATGTAAATAATTTAGATAATTTAAAGAATTTTGAATAATTTAAATAATTTAAATCTAGGGCTGGACTTAAATTATTTCATTGTTTAAATTATTTAACTAATTCAAATCCGCCCAAATAATTTACATAATTTACATCTAGGGCTGGATTTAAAATATTTAGAGTATTTAAATGTTGAAAATATTTAAATGTTGAAAATATTTAAATATTTCAAATAATGTAAATAATTTAAATCTAGGACTGGATTTACATTATGTAAATTATTTAAATTATCTGAACTATTTAAGTGTTTGCATTATTCATTTTTTTAAAATTATCTAAGAATTGTAACTCCGCCCAAATAATTCAAATAATCTAAATCTAGGGCTGGATTTAAATTATTCAAATTATTCAAATAATTTACATTTTCATAATTCAAGTCTATGGCTGGATTTAAATTATTTACATTATTTAAATCTGCCCAAATAATTTAAATACGTATAATCCAGCCCTAGATTTACAATATTTAAATTATCTAAATTATTTACATTATCTAAATTATTTAAATCATTTAAAGTCTCTGAAATGTACCTGAAATAGCTCTGGAAGGCCCTTGGGAGGCCTCTGGAAGGCCCTTGAAAGGCCTCTGGGAGGCCCTTGAGAGGCTCTAGGATACACCTGCGCGGGCAGGCCTGCCAGCCTCCCGGGGGCCCAGGAACCTCCCAGACACCTCTCAGGCACTTCCCAACCGGGAGGCTGTCAGGATGCCTTGGCAGGCCCCTTGGGAGGCCGGCGGAAGCCAGATTTGATCCCAAAATCATTAATCGCAAGGGGTATCACCCTAAAGTTTTTCTAAACATCTGATACCAAAATCATTAATCGCAAGGAGTGTCACCGTTAGGTTTTTCCAGAAATCTGATCCCAAAATCATAAATCGCAAGGGGTGTCCCCCTTAGATTTTTTCAGAAATCTGATCTCAATATCAATAATCGCAAGAGGTGTCCCCCTAAAGTTTTTCAAAACATCTGATCCCAAAATCACAAATCGCAAGGGGTGTCCCCCTGAGGTTTTTCCAGAAATCTGATCCCAATATCATTAATCGCAAGGGGTGTCCCCCTTAGGTGTTTTAACAAATCTGATCCCAAAATCATAAATCGCAAGGTGTGTCCCCCTAATTTTTTTTTAACA